GTTGTTGTTGTTGTTGGATCGACAGTCGATACAAAATTGTAAATTTCGATGCTCCACCACCATCACCACCACCACCATCAACAGCACTTTGTGAAGTGAATTAAATTTTTTTTTTCTTTCGTTCATCCCGATTGTTTGATATTTTTTTTTTTTTTTTTTTTTGGTTCTCTATCTTTCTTCATCCATCCATTTTCTTCAGTGTTTGTGTGAATATATTATCAGGAAAAAAAATAAGTTTTTTGGCTGTGAAACAAAATCGAAATAAAGTATTTCAATCTGAAAAATGGAATCAAATCAAATCAAATCTTGTGTTAAAATAGCTTTTGTTGTTGTTGTCGTTGTTTGAAGAATAAAAGTTACGCCCATATAAAATATGTGTTTTCAAATTCGAATTCAAATTTGAATGATGATGATGATGGCTATTTAGAATTGCAAAGTTGCCAAGTTTTTCATTTCTGCAAAAAAAAAAAAATTTTATTTGTTTGTTTGTTTATAAAATTGTTTACCGTTTTTTTTATATTCATTCTATTTTTTTTAGGTAGTAGTAGTAGGATTCTTTTGTCATTTTAAATTGAGTTTTGGTGTAGACCAATTTATCGTCATCATCAATTTTTTTTTTTGACAAACTAAATCGATCTAATCGATAGAATGGTGTCGAAATAGAATCGAATGATTCAAAAGAAAGAATTGAGAGAAGAAAAAAAAAAAAAAAGAAAACGGAACCATACGGATTTGATCCGGATTAATTTAGCTGATGATATAAATCATACACACACGCATGAAAACATATTTAAACTTTGTTCCAAAAAAAAAAAAAAAAAAAAATACTCACGGAGAAGAAATATAGATGATGACCAAATCTTTTTTTGGAATAAGAAAACAATTTTCCATTCTGGTTCTTTATATTTCATCTCTTGGTTGGCTGAAAATAGAATCTGTCCATTTTTTATCATTTAATAACGTTATAATCCACATGAATCCGATTGAATGTGAATGATTGAATACACACACACACAGACACACATTAATTTGTGCAATGCTTTTTTTTCATCGTTTCAACCAGAAATTCAATCAAAATCATACACGCAAACCGATTGATGGCCATGATGAATTATAATCAATATAATTAATCCGATTAGTTTTCATTTCATCATCGTAATAATAATTGAATCGAATGATGATGATTATTACAAAAAAAAAATGAAATGAAATGAAAGCGATGGTTTGTGTTTTCTTCTTGCGTCTTTTGGTTTGAATGTTTGAAATTCAAAATAATGAATAAAAATGAATTGTAAAACAAAACAAAAAAAATGTTCACCGCAGAAAAAAAAGAGAGATTGTTGTGGCAGGATATATGAAGAATTATCAATTTTTTTCTTTTTAATAAAAGTATATTTTTTTCGGTCTTGCCAATGATGATGATGATGATGATTAATCACATGGAATTAATCTCAATTTTAACTCTACGTTGGTTTTTTTAGGGTTTGAAATTCTGTTTTGAATAATAAGAGAAAAAAAAGGAATGCCAGCGATATTGTCATCATCATCATTGCATCATTCAAGCGAAACGTTAACGATAATTGATGTTCATTTTCATTCATTCATTCATTCATTCAGCTTCATCATTTCATTATAAATGTCTCTAGATAATGAGATAATGAATGAAACAAGAAAATGGAAAAAAATGATTCAGATTGATGGCACTTACGATACGCATACACCCATACACACACACACACACAGGTCAGAGTGTTGAATAAAACTTCCGATCACAATTTTCAAATTGAAATTTTCTTTTTCTTCTTGCTTTTGTTTCTATATTATCATCATTTACCACCAATATATTTCTTTGTTACATGTGTTTCATGTGATAAAAAACTGATGATGATGATGATGATGATGATGAACGGAAACGGAAATGATTGTTTCATCATTGTTTGAAACCGGTATTTTGGTATAATAATGAAATGAAATGAGAATAATCATCAAAATGAAACTAATAAAAAAAAAATTGTCCTGTTTTCTTCAATAGTGTTCCATAGAGAATTCTCTATTGAAATGAAATGAAATGAACAATTCATGTATGTTATGTGAATAGAATCAATCCAAATTGAATAACGGTCCAATTATTTTCAGATTGAATTTTCTTCTTTTTTTTCACTTTTTCATCGTCGTCGTCGTCGTCGTTGTCGTCGTCGTCTGTAAAATAGAAAGAAAAAGTTGAATCAATCATGAATTTTTTTTATTCGTTTTACTTACTTGCATCATATCATGTAGCAAAAGAAATAAGTGGCCCGATTCATTCGCCAATTCTAAAAAAGAAAAAATTTGACAATAATCACGTTCGAATTGAATTGAATTGAATAAAATTCTAACCAAAATTGTCATCATCATCATCATACGAATGAATGATCATTGAATACGGCATCATCATCATCATCATCATCAGATTGCATATATTGCGATTCTTTTGAACAATAATAAAACAAAATCAAATGTATCAAATTTTGACAAAGTATACAAAAAGTCTCAAATGACAAATAATAATAACAAAATAAACGATAAAACGATAAACGACGATACATTCGAAACTATCATCATCATCAAATATATATAATTAAACAATCGATAATCAAACAATCGATTGTTTTTATATATTTAATATTCTTGTCATGAATTTGATGATGATGATGATGATCGTAGAATTTTACGATAATCGACGAATAATATATAAACCAAACCAATAAAACAATTATGAGGTTTGTCTGTCTGTCTGTTTTTTTTTTTGACACGATCCATGAATTTTATAACTAAACTTTTTTTTTTTTTTGTTACTGTTTGATAGATTCTAATTAATGAATTTTCTGTATAAATATCGTCAACATTTTATTATTGTCATTAGAATTGATTTGCATAATAAATAATTATATTATTATGCAAAAATCACGTCATTATCATTGAAAATTTTTGTCAAATAAAAAATGATGATGATGGAAATGAGCTATTGATTGATTCAATTATAATTTGCATATATTTATAATATCGAATGGAAAATCAGCTTTATGAATTTTTTTACATTGTGAAAAAGCCATCAAAATAAATTATTTTTTTTTGTAGCAACGTACAACAAAGTGTGTGTGTGTGTGTGTGTGTGTTGCATACCAAAACATGGCATTTATCTTGTTGTTCATCGATTGATTGATTAACCCATCAGATTGGTTACAGGGATAATATCGAACGATGAAAATGGCACGTGTGTGTGTGTGTGTGTGTGTGTTTGTAACATGATCATCATCATCATCATTGAATGAAATTCGAATACTTTTTTTTCGATGATTTTTGATGGATTATGATTGAAAACAATATATATTGTTTTTATTTGTGGAACAGAAGAGAATTTTGTTTTTTTTCATATGTATTAGCTTTCATCTGATTTATCATCATCATATGACTGATATTTGATATTCCATGCGGCCATTTAATTTGATTGATTACAAATCGATCAAATCGATATGTGTGTGTGTGTGTGTGTGGATTATTATTACTATAGAATCAATCATGATTTGACAATTTGATTGTCTTTTTCTCGCGATAAAGTTTAATAATTAAACGTTGAATTGAAATAATTCAATTTTAGCCAATAACAACCAATGAATAATAATCATAATCGATCGATTGATTGATTGATATGAATGATGGGCACCAGATGACAGCAATAATATCAAAAAAATGATGCCATTTTCAATGTTAATTGTTGTTGTTGTTGTTGTTGTTTTGTTTGTAATTAAAACCATTCACAATTAACAATTTTTTTACATTACATTCCAGTTTGATTATTGCCGTAATGTCATGAAGAATTTAAACCAAAAAAAAAAAAAAAAATTCTGCTTGGTGTTAATGATCTTGACACTTGAATGATCACAGTGTGTGTATGTGTGTGTGTGATCAACAAAATACATTGAACACTAATTAAACTTTTCACGCCAGTCCAAATGAATAAATAAAAAAAGTTTCAACAACAACAACTATTGAGAGTGAAAGAAAAATCTTTTTAGGTATTCCATTTTAAACGCGTGTGTGGATGGATGGGTGGGCGTTTGGAATGAAATGTTCATCGAACCGAATTTCCAGATTCAACAAAAAAAAGAAGAAAGTTTAAAAAAAAAATCAACACATACAATACACTGTTGTTAACCTCTTAGGTCCATTAGTCAAAATGTCAATATTCGTTTCTCGTAAATGTGTGCTGCGGGGGTGGATGAAAGGGAAGAAATAGAGAAAAATGTGCCAAGTCAATAAATTTTTTGTTGTTGTTGTTGTTGTTGTTGAATTTTGAGAATTTGGAAAAAATACAAAAAAAAATTGTATTAGAAATTCCAGCAAAAAAAAAAAAAAATAGAAAACTCATACACAACGGAAAAGTTTTCGGAAATAATCGAATCATTTTTTTCCACTTTTTGTTTCTATTCGATTCGCTTATTAACAGCAACAGTCACAACTTTTTTTTTTTTTTTTTTTTCTATCGTATAGAGATCAGAATCGATTGTGATTATTATTATTATTATATCGGTGATGGGTGACTATAAAAATTTATGGAGAAGAAAACAAAAACAAAAACAAACAAACAAACAAGATGACAAACCTTTTCTTTTTTTTTTTGTTTCTTACAATCAAAATGAAAGTGAAAGAAGAATATGGGCCCATTATACAAAATCTGGTTTGAATTCCATCGATGTCTGTCTGTTTGTTTGTGTGTGTGTTTAATTCACCGTAACATTATAGGATTGTTGAATGGCCAAAGAAAAAAAAAGTGAACAATTTCATCATCATGGAATCAATGAAAGAAAGAAAAAAAAAGTTATCATCATTTATTTCAAAGTTAAAAGATTAATAAAACTTTTTTTTTCTTTTCAGATACCTTTTTTTTATTATTGTCATCCAATGGATAGATCAATGTACAAACACAATTTGTTTACGGATGAATGAAGAAAAATATCGGTAAACAACAATTTAACATTTTATTCGATATATAAAACAAACACAATGATAATAATAACAACGAAATACAACATTGTGAAACGAAGAAATGTCATTTCTGTCTTGGATTTGATGATGATTGAAGAACAAAATCTTGAATTACAATATAAGAACAAATTGAAACAAAAAAAAAATTCTAAAGAGACCAAAAGTTAAAAAAAAAGAATATTGTGTGATAAATAAGAAGCTTTGCGCCATCTATCAATGGTAAAGATCAATGTTTTTTTTGTTTTGTTTTGTTTTGAAAAATCACCATTCAATCAGTTATCATTGGTTTTTTTGTTTTATCGTTCGATTATTATTATTATTATTACGATAATAGGATCGAATATAGAATTGGCCAAACATGTAAAGAAATATGATTGCCTGTGATATTGGTAATGTTCGATATAATAATGGATAACCAGTATGAAATAATTGTAAACAGATACCATATGTACCTATTATTGCAAATTGTGTTAATTGTATACGTGTTATATAATGTTTCCACCAAAGATATGGCTGTATATGTTCACCAAATGATGAAAGTGCATAATATGTATACATGATTACATGACAAAAACAATTGAGCATTGCAAAAAGGCCAAGTACTGGCATTGTTGGATTTGTCTATGTGGAAAAACGAAAATCAATAAATTAAAAAAAAAACGAATCAAATCATTAATACACAAACATACCCATGATGAAATCCAACCAATAATCGGTACAGAAATATGATGATAAATATGTAATGCTGTTAGTTGACGATCTTTTTTTCGTAATATAAAAAAAAATGTATCAAAATAATCAATAAATTTTGTCCATTGATAATAATAAAACATATGTACTATATGCATTGCATTCACGGAACGATCTTGTGATGATGGAAATTTAAAATCAAATAAACGTATACCAAAATTTATCCATAATAATGATTCGAATAGAAAATAACCATTAATGGTAACCAATATGATATTATAGATAAACATTGGTGTACGTAATTCATATGGTTTACGTGTACGCATCCATCGTTGTCCAATGAATACTATGGCCAAATAGGCACCAGTAAAAGTGGCCAATTTCCATGGTCCATTTGATATGAGCCAAAAATCCACAGTACGTGGATCACAATAACGGTCCCAATAATTCACTGAATGATCAACCGGTATAATACGTGCAGATGTTGATGATGACATCACGATTTAATTTTTCAAACAAAAAAAAAAATTTTAAATCAAATCTGGTTTTATCGGCAAAACTTATACAGAAAAAAAATTTTCAAATTTTCCTGTGTTTTTTTTTTTTTTGGTTGAAAAAACGAGAAAAAAAATCAATTACTAATGTTTCATGTTGCATGTGAAATCGATAACTAAAAAAAAAAAAGTAGATTTTGTGTCATTTGACCAAGAAACCAAAAAAAGAGTGTGACTTACAAGGAAAAAAAAATTTGCTGATAATAATAACGATGATGATGATGATGAGTATAAACGAACAAAAAAAAAAAAAAAAATTCAATTTGGAATTTTTCATAAAAATAGAATCAATTTTCGGTGAATTTTGGTTTCATACCAGTACAATGCAAAGTTGAAATAAACCAAAAAGAAAAAAACTTTTATATATAACTGGTTGGCTGTTGACAAAAAAAAAAAAAAAAAAAAAAAACACACACACACATATACACAATTTTTAATCTGATCAAAAACGAACGTTTTATTTCATTGCCATTTCATAGACCTGTACGTAACACTACAGTCCACTGATACAGGTGTGTAGAAAATAAAAAAAAAGAGAAAACAGATTAAAAAAAACACCTACCGTCGCTTGTATGTACAGCGATAATAAAGAAATGGGGAAAAATTCAAATTTAACGACGACGACGACGACGATAAATCAGACAAATTTGAAATTTTTTTTTTTTTTTTTTGTTTCATTCAAAATTTTTTTTTATCAATGATTATGAATATGACCAATATAAAAAAAAAATTGGACAATTATTGAACATGAAAATGACAATGTCCATAGTTTTTTTTTCTTGAAAAAAATGAATGAATGAATGAATGAATGAAAGAGAAAAACATCTGGATGAATGAATTCACGAAACAAGAGAGAGAGAGAGAGACATCCAGTGAACAAAAAAAACAATAATAAATCACAAACCAGAAACATCACCACAACAAAACAGTAGAAATAGAGAGAGAGAGAGAGAGAGAGAAAAATTTTTTTCATCTACAAATCATCATCATGATGATGATGATGATAATATGTACCAGAATCAAATGATTTGTTTAATACCTGATAATCAAATGATTTGTTAATTATTAACGAATCTTTTTATTGGAACCTGTTGTTGTTGTTGTTGTTGTTGCAGTAATAGAAATAATAACAATTATTATTATTACAACAACCTGTTGAGGAGATCCATTCATGTAATTTGTTTAGTGGATTCATAATTATTTTGCACACCTAAATTTTTTTTTTTTTTTTTTTTTTTTTTTGGTTCGTTGATCCGGACACATCATTATTATTTTGGTTGTCAAAACACACACACACACACAATGAATGAATGAATGATCGGTACTTACCCAAAAAAAAAAAAATGTTTGTTGCACTTGTGTCAATTTTGATTGATTGATGATGATGAATTGTTTTCTGTTTTCTGGTCGTGGTTCGATTTGATCTGATTTTCTTTTTTCAAAGATTCAATCTGATGAAAATCTACTATTTTTATATCCAAATATGATTGATTTGGATTGGATTTTTAATTCAACGGATTAAATGAGAACAAACAACAAAAAAAATAGAATCTACATGAAGATAAAGATAAAGGACAATGGAAAGAGAGAGAGAGAGAGAGAAAAAAATTTTTAAGAATCCAGAACATTCATTCAAAATCATCATTGTTCTTCAATCGATGGATTTATAAGATGAAGAAACAGCAGGAAAATTTCTTCTTTTTTATTCTAGTTTTTTTGTTGTTGTTGTTGTTGTTGTTTCTATTTCACTATTACAAATTAACAAGAGGAAAAAAAACCGGATTTGTGTCATACCACAATCATCATCATCATCATATATGACATGGTGCATATATGCTACTGTGTCTTTTGTCCATGTTGAAAATAGAATCCTCTTTGGTCATTTTTTTTTTTTTGTTTCTTACCATAAATCACACACACACACACACAATCAGATTGTTGATTCACATTTGATGTGATCAATTATTGTGTTGAAACAAACAAACAAAACCAAATGCAATGGCCATGGCCTACGTCAACAACAACAACAAAACAGCAGCGAAATAAAAAAAAAGAAGGTCGAAAACATCATTGATGTCATGTATATATCACCATCATCATTACACATAGGATTTTTTTTCTCATCTTTTTTTTTTACCACCACCACCACCACCACCACCAGCAACAACTACAAAAACCTGTGACATTTTCATATTTTTTTTTTCTGTCTTATATTCATTATTCATTATAAATCAATTTTTTTTTCTTATTTTATTGACAATTATTCGTCAATAAATGATGATGATGATGATGATGATGAAATGTGAGAAAATAAAAATAAAAATTCAAGACAGACAGTTGATCATAATGAAAGAAATTTGAAAATTTTTTCCATCATAAACCACTGTATATTGTCTGTATATATATATATATGTGTTTTTCTTTATGTTTTCATTTCTGACATTTAGTTGTCAAAAAAAAAAAAAAAAAAAAAAACTTATTTGCCTTTGCCATTGTTTGCCATTAATTATATTGGACAATGTTATCATCAAATGAATGATGATGATGATGATGAAATTTTTTAAATTTTATTCGGGTAAATAAATAAGAAACAAAGTTCAAAACTAAAATGAAATTTTTCCACCAATATGAACATCTTCAATTGAAAATTTTTAATATTTTTTTTTCGGTGATTTACCTTCAAATTAAATGAAATTCATACACACACACACACACGCATATCCGGAATATAGTGATTTTTTTTTGCTTACTATTTCGTTCCGCTAGCCAGAAAAAAAAATCTGAGAAAGAAAAAAATTTCATTTTTTGTCCCCATTTATTTTTCATTTGGAAATTTTTTTTTTTTTTGAATTTCTGTAGCAACCGGAAATTGTTTTACAGAAGGAAAAATTTTTTTTTGTTTCTTGTTTTGTCTCATACGGTTGACTTGTTAACTATTTACAACCGATTCAAGGTCATCAATATTCATCATCATCATCATCATCATCGTTATTTTCATTCTATTCTTGGATATTTTTATTTGCAACAAATTGTAACAATTGTAACAACAACAACAACAACAACAACAACAACAACAACAACAAAGGAACTGACTGATATTGGTAGTAGTAGGAAGGAAAGCAAAAAAAAAAAAAAACCAAAAAAAAACATTGCAGCATAATTGGGCGTACCATTAATCTACATTCATTCATTCATTATTATTATCATTACATTCTTATGTGCAATATATATAAATAAATGTTTATTTTATTTTTCTTGTTATTTCCGTTTTCCGTTTATTAATGATGATTGTTGTTTACGTCGGCAACGATATTTCCAGGATACACTATGTGTGTATGTGTTTGTGTGTGTGTGTGTATTGGTCAACATCGCAAATCGAAACAAAAAAAGAAATGTCCATGTCCTTATGATGATAAAGATGACATTTTATTCATGGAATATAAAATTTATCATCATTGATCATTGTAAATCAATCAATCAACCGATGGTCTGTGTGTGTGTATGCGTGTACCTGTGGTGATGTCATCAGAATATAACGAGAAAAAAAAGTGAAGAAAAAAAAATTTTCCCATTTCCCTTCTTGTTACATTGTTAAATAAATTTCGAATGACGATGAATTGTCACCGTTTTTTTTCCGTAGAGGGAAACAACCCGGTGTTGGAAATCTTTTTTTTTATTATTTTTAAAAATTAAAAAAAGTGGAAATTTAAATTACATATATATTCGTGTATGATGATAAGAAAGTTGCAAATTTTTCAATTTTTTTTTTGTTTCATTGATAATTAATTAATTAATCCAATTTTTTATTGGAATTATAAGATTTCATATAAAAATGTGAAAAGAAAAAGAAAAAAATAACCGGCTGACTAGCGGCAAACCAAAATGGCCCGGATGGATAATCAGAAACAATGAATACGGCAACACCATATGATATTAATAGTATGAATTGTATGATCTGTATCATTGTTAGATAACGTTTCCACCAAAGATATGGCTGTATACGTGGACCTAATGCGGCCAATGCATAATAACTATACATCATAACATGTACGGCAGAATTTAAAAATGAAAATAATGAAATGGCCGGTATGCCAACACGATACCAAAGATATAGCCAACCAAGTATAGGTACAACTGAATGATGATAAACATGTAATAGGCTGATTTGATTGTATTTTTTTCTCAATACAAAAAATACCGTATCCAAGAGATCGATGAATTTTGTCAACCAATATAGATAACATGACCAGATGAATTCTTTTGCTTCATTTGTATGTAATTTTAATTCATTCATACGTGGCATTCTAAAATTGAATAATTCACGACCAAAATCTAGCCAATACTAATAATAATAATATTGATATATTGGATATTTGATAAATAGATATGTAATGGAAATATTGAAAACTTACCATTGATTGTATAAGAAAATAGCCATTTATTATGACCATCAATGTATTATATATTAACATTGGCCATCGTAATTGATATGGTTCACGTTTACGCATCATTGATGGTCCCATACGTGTGACAAAAAATAGATATATACCGATGACAAATAATGTAGGCCATGGTCCTTCACGTATCAATGGTAGACCATTTGAACGTGGATCACCATTTTCTTGCCAATATTGTGATACATAATAACGTATGCCACGATTTGAATTTTCACTTTGTAAATTGGCTGCCATTCTTATTCAATCTTCTAATAATAATAACAATAACAACAACAACGATGGAAAAAAGTGGATTTTAACAAAAAAAAAAAAAAAAATTTGATTGAAGATGAAATTCTTGTAAGATCAATGCAACGATAAAAGATAAAAAAAAAATAAAATCACTGGTTATATCGTAATATATCACAATATATTATTATTATATATATATAATGGCTATCAGATGGCTGTCAATTTTCAATATTCATACATTATTATTATGGAATCATCATTAAATAATCAATGATAATCAATGATAATGATATCAACAAATATCGATTCAAATTGATATTTCAAATTGTAATTTAGTACTGGTCAAAATGTTAGAAGAAAGCGATATAAAAAATTTATGTAACCGTCTATATTTAACGACTGAAACAGGAAAATGGATCATTATTATTATTATGGTGGTGGTGGTGGTGGTGGTGGTAGTGATGATGATGGTGGTGGTGATAATGATGATGGTGATGTTGATGAAGGAAAATGATTCTTTTTTCTGTTTGTTTGTTTGTTTGTTTGTTTGCATTTTCATTTCATTTCATTTTTTTTTTTCATCTGTTTCACTATTCATATTCACATCAGGTGATAAAAATCATACCATACAATATGACCAAAATGGAAAGGCGTGTACAATTGTATGGAATTTTTTTTTGCAAACTAAAAAACAAAAAAAAAATAGAAATAGACAGTGAGAGAAACCTTATGTGAAATACCCAAACTTTACTTTTTTTTTCTCATTTTTCTTTTCTCTCTTTCTTTGTTCTCTCATATTTGAATTGTCGTTCAAACAAGTGAAATAAAATTAATAGATAGATAGATAGATGATGATGATGAAATGAAACAATTATATATCCATACAAAAACCAGAAATATGACAAAATGAAACGGAAAAAAAAAATTTTCATGGCCATCCATACACTAAGAATGTGTGACAATTATTTTGTTGTTTCATTATCGTAGCAGCAGCAAAAGCAACAAAAACGGAAAAAAAAATTTAAATTCACATTCATATGACGCAATCATAATAATCAAGATCAATATTTGGAATCACACACACACACACACATTGGATGAATTTTTCCAATGAAATTTTTTTTTCTAATTTTTTTATTCCAAAAAATATTTCATTTGGCAAATAAATTATTATCAATCAATTATTATAGTTATCAATCATATAATCAATCTATATATACTATATAAATAAAAATTATATCCACACACCTACACATCCATTGGTGATGATAATATTCAATGTTTTATCGATACATGGATGATCCATTGGCGCAAAAGATTGATATGATTGGATTGGCGATCGTCGAATGATATATAGATAATAATAATAATAATAATAATAATATATAAAAAAATCAAATAAAAAAAATTCTAAATAATAATCAATATATACGAAGAGTAATAAGGAACAATCAATAAGACAATATTTGATATATCCAATATTCGATTTCGTCAAATAAACGAATGACATGGATGGCAATGATATGGATTATGGCATTTCAAGGATTCAATCAATATTGAATCATGATGAATGATGATGATGATGATTTGTAGTTGATCCATTCGTCACCGTTGTATGTTTAACATCATTACCACCATTGGTGGTGGTGGTGGTAGTTGTTGTCGTCGCTGTTGTTGTTGTTGTTGTTGTTTTCGATGTTGTTGTTGTTGTATTATTATTATTCTGATCATATCCATTTGTTGTTATAAGATTAAATTTTTTTGCATTATATAAATCATATAATTGTTGTTTATACATTTGTTCAACAATACGACGCTTCAATTTCAATGCAGCTGTTAATATTCCATTATCTGGTGACCAAATTTCTGGTACTAATCGTACACGTCTTGGTATTTCTTTCTTTCCCAATGATAATTGTTTCGCCGTTTTCATTATTTCATCAAATATTATTTGCTGTATTTGTTGATCATTACATTGTTCTTCAATTGAAAGATGATTTTTACCAATAGTTTGTGCTAATTGTTCTAAAGCTTTACGATTAGGACTAATTAATGCGACTATATCATTGGAAAATGTACCACCATAAACGCATATATTATCGACTAATTGACAGAATTTTAATGCTGCTTCGACCTGTGTTTTTGACAAGAAAAAAATAAAAGTAGAAATTAAAAACTCATGAAAATTTCAACTTTAATTTTTGTTTACCTTTCCAAGTGAAATATATTCACCATTCTGTAGTTTAATGAGATCTTTACAACGATCAATAATTTTTATCGTACCATTTGGATATAATTCACCAACATCACCAGTTTGAAACCATCTTATGCCATTTTGATCGGTAATAAAAACTTCATTTGATTGTTCGGGTCTTTTGAAATAATTGATGGCAACAAGATCACCACCGATAAGAATTTCACCACGTGGATTTGGTTTATCTTTCACTGAATAACCACCATCAGGCCAATCACGTAATCGAAAATAAACATGACCAAGTGGAGCACCAACACGTCCATATTCGAGATCATCGAAATCCATACAAAGAACGGCTCCAGTTGTTTCAGTGGCACCATAACCTTGAATCAATGTTACATCCAAAGCCGATTTTATTGTCGCTTGTGTATTAGAATTCAATGGTGCACCACCACAAATGACAAAATGTAGATTACTTCCAAGTTGTTCACGAACTTTGGTACATAATAATTTGCTAACAATATCACAACGATAACCCAATCGTGTCCACATTGATTTGTAATTCATTAAAAATTGAAATACTGGCTGTGATACCGGTGTCCGTGAACGTAGTTTATCATTAACTTCTTTTATGATTCGATCCAAAACTAATGGTACGGTTGTCATTACCGTTGGTCGTAGCAATTTTATATCAGGTTTTTGACCACGTGCTAGACCCGGTGCAGAATCTGTCAATGTGAATGGTGATGCATAACCAAGTCGAACACCACCTAATTTAAACGGGGAATAAAAAAAGATTTATTTCATCTTCAAATCAAATCATATCCGATGTATAACGGTATTTGATAAGCTTACCAACACAGAAAAATACTTCGAGCGTTAGTTCAAGTACATGTGCCATTGGTAGATAGGAAATATATGTATGAAATGGTGCTTCATGTATTATATGTCTGACTAGGACAAACAATGCACGTATTGAGCCCAAAAATTGACGCTGTGTCATTGTAGCGGCTTTTGGTAGACCAGTTGTACCGGATGTATACATTATAAGCATCGTTTTATCCAATTTGGCAGATGGATATGGTTGTTGGCGATTCTCTTCGATTAATTGTTTACCAATTTTTTCAATATCGCTTAAAGCAAATGTTTTAATTGATTCTTCAATATCAATTTCAGGTTTTTGCAGACCATCCATATAAATGATACGTTTAACGGAATGTTTTTTCGCATGACAAAGAGCTGATTTTAGCAATGTAATGCATTCCAATGATACAATCACAGTTTCAACTTCGGTTTCTTCAATACCATGAGCTACACCGTCGACACCTGTTGATTGAAAAACGAAAAAAATGAATAAATTTGAAATTTTCGAATGAGAAAAATATTTTATAAATAAATAAATAAATCTAAAGTTTAAAAATTATTGATTGATTACCTAGATTGGAAAATACAGTGGCTAATGTAGCATTACAACGAAGTAATGATTGAAAGCAAAGCATCCATTCAATACGTGTTTCCGATATGATCATTACACGGCTTAATTCATTAATTCCATTCGCTATTAAACCTTGGGCAATATTATTGGTAACATCATTCACTTGTGAATATGTAAGCCATTTATAATCACTCAAATGATATTGTTTCAATTGTCGACCATCCATTCGTCTGATTTGTCCTTGTGAATCTAATGCTACTTCTTCAGATAGCACTTGACGATATCCTTTTTATTGAATGGAATGAAAAATTATTTTTTTATTTAAAATTACAATTCACACACACACACACACACACACACACTTACCAAGACATGGGACATCTGGACCATAAAGATTAGGTATATTATTAACTATTTCGGTCAAAGTTTCAAATTTAAATATTGGATGATTATATTCACCACAATCATCACGGATATATATTGGCGATAATGATAGGCCATTACTTAATTGATCATAATTATTATTATGATGATGATGATGATATGAATTGATAGATTCCGATTTAATTGATGGTACTGTCAACGATGGAGATGGTTTGTAGATTTTTACACGATTACGTGCATTCAATTTTCGTTTTAACCATGGTTTTTGTAATATAAAATAAATGGGCAATGTAATCCATGTATATGTTTGTACGACCGATATAAAAATGGCCATAAATATGGTAATCAATGAACGTCGTAAAAATGTGGCCATTGTTGTTTTGTTTATGGAAAAATTTTTCAATTTTTCAATATATGAAATCAATATTTGAGCCAATGGCTGGACAATCTATCCAAATGGAACAATTGTAATTGTTATTATTATTATTGTAGTCGATCACAAAAATAAATGGAAACAGAAATGAAAAAAAATATATCAAAATCAGAAATCCCAATAATTTTCAACAACCCTTCAACAACAACATCAAAAGTGAAAAATTTTTAAATATTTAAAAAAGCTCATTATTTTTATGTGATGATCAAAAAAAAAATTCGAATGAAAATGATGACAATGAATTTAAATGAACACACCGCACACATAGATTAATGTTGACAATGACGATGGCGATGACGATGATGATGATGAGATGTTCTTGTGTTTTGGTTGATGTGTGTGTGTGTGTGTGTGTGATGATGATGAATATTTGTTGTCGATTAAAAGAAAAGAAAAAAATTTTTTTTTTTTTTAAATTATTAAGATTCAATGGATATTTTGAATGAATGAATGAATAAATGATATTATTGTAAAACAAAAAAAAATTTCATTTTTTCCTTTCTCTTTCTTTCTTTCTTTCTCTGGTCACAATCTATCAATTGATCAATCATAAATGGTAGTAGAGGCATATATGAATTGGATGGTTATGAATTATTTTTTTTTTTGCATTTTTCAATTTTTTTTTTTTGTTTTGATTAATTTGATTGATTGACTGATTGGATTATAAAAAATGAAAGGAAAAGATATGTTTGTATTTGTGAGATCGTACACAAAACGGATGGAATAGATCTGATGATCAAAACAAAATAAAACAAAAATTTTTTGTTTCCAACTAATCATGTGGGGGTATATATTTTTAAATATGGAAAATACATGCACATACGTGTTGACCATAGAAATGGACAACTATGACTAACACACACACACACACCAGCACACTATTGGTTATCAGAAAGACAAAGACCAAGGTCATAATCATAATCATCATTAGTTTGATATCATCAAAAAGTTATATGCTACCTATAAATATAAATAAAAATGCCTTTTTTGAACTGAAATCAATCAATTCATCATCGATCAACAGATTATGAATTTTAGGAAGAAAAAAAAAATTTTTTTTTTAAATTGACTTGAAATCTTGGACTGTGAACGTTATTTGATATCCAAAAATAGAAAATAAACATTTTGTCCCTTGATGATTTTATTTTTTATAAAAAATTTTATCTTGTGATTTTTTCTGATTTATCAATTATCGACAATTCTAAATTATAAGTGTATGGGTGAAATGCAAAAACAAAAACAAAAAAAAAGTTTCACACACACGGGTAATAGCCACACGTATCTTATTTATTTTTATTTTTTTTATACCGGATAAGTAATAACCATTATGTGTGTACGTGTGTTTATATATGTGTGTGATTGAAATGATAAAATGATCACAAGATCAAAACAACTATGAGGATATAAGAAAAAAAACACTGTGTTAGCAAATGTTCAAAACTTAACCACAACCGTTTGATTTACAAAAATTGACAAAAAAAAAGAGAGAAAAATTCAATTATCATACCCTAAGAAATGTATTTTCATGTGTGTGTGTGTGTGTGATAAAATTGTAAAATTTAAAAAAAAATTAGTGAAAGAAACAAAAAAAAAAAAGAGCACCTTGAGCCAAAGAAGGATCTTTAAGTGCGTACACATCATCATTGTCCTTGACATTCGAAATATATGCAGATAGCTATCGATAGCTATAGATCGACCTAGATGATATATAGATGCTAACTAACTAACTAACTAACTAGATACAAATTTTTTTTCTTTCTGCCCTCTTTGAAATGGTCAATGACGATGAATGGAAATTTTCATTTTGTTGAATTCAAAAAAAAAATAAAAAAAAAAATTCAGTGGATATTCACTCCCTCCCCTCCACAACTACGTAGTTTTTTCTTTAATCATCATTGAATATAAACAAATTCGTGGTAAATAATAATCCTTGAAATGAAATAAAATGAATAGAGAAAAAGGAAAAACTCACATCTCACACCTTTCTAAATTCATCATATGATGATCGATAATAATATAATATATAATGGAATTTTAAACTTGAGAAATTTGAATTGAAAAACAAAAAACAAAAAACAAAATCAAAAAACAAACAAACAAACAAACAAACAAAACCACAACAATATGGCGGTCATGTTCATCATCATTTTGGACATGTGAAATAATAAAACTTTAAAATAAATTGAATTTTCTATTATTCACACATGATCATTGAATGAATTTCAATATAAACAAATTGACATGTTTGGTCATTCATACACACACACACACATCCGCACACCTAAATTTTATTAATTTGGGTTTTTTTTGGTTTAACTGAGGAATGTGAATCAATCAATTTTAAGGTTGTCTTTCTTACCAATGAATGAAACAAAGTGGATTCAAGTGGGGATTCTTCTTATTGGAAAAAACCAATCGAACAACATATTCAAGTGGCTAGAAAGCCAGAAATGATTGAAAAATTGAAATTTCGAATGAATCAAATTCAAATTTAAGGATTCGTGATTGGAAAATTCCAATTTTTATCACTTCATCTCACACTTTCATGATGGATAAAAGTAGATGCAAACAGAATCAAAACACTTACTTTTGATTCATGATTGATATTATCACCATGTTCGTTTATGATGGCCATTTGATGATGATGTTGTTGTTGTTGTTGTTTGGGAGACATTTCATTTGTGATAAATTCTGATGTTGAACATTTATTATTATTGTTAATATCATCATTGGTAGCCAATATTGCAGTCGATTTTGATATCTCATTCGAAGGTGATATTGATGGAACAGCGGTAGACATAATTTCACATTCTTCATATGAACGAACAGAGCCAGTATTTCGACGTCTTATAGCCAATTTATGATCGATTGTAAGAAACAATGATCGCTTTTCTTGTTGCTGTTGTGGTTGACGATAGGACTGATGTTTGTTTTTATTGCTACTGTTATTCACATCAACTGTATTATGATCTAATGATATTGGTGTCGTTGCCAATGTCAATGTTGATGGCCTCAACGATTCAATTGTATTGAGTTGCTGTTGTTCTGTTGCTATTGTTGTTGTTGTTGTTTGAACTGAATTCAATGTTGATTCTTTCTCAATATCAGGTCGAAGGAGTTGTTTTTGTTCATCACCAGCATCATCATCATCATCATCATCACTATCAACAATGACAATATTCGATTCATAATGATCATCATCATCATCATCTTCATCAATGCTATGATCATGTATTTGTTGTTTATTATCATTATTTTTAACATTCATCTTCAAAGATGATGATGATGATGATGACGATGAAGGATGTGCGACAAAATTACCGGAAATCATTTGATTGTCGACATGGTGATCCAGATTATTATTCATGATATCACTACTATTAGCAATCATATTATTAACAACATTCGATGATGTTGTTGTTGATGATGATGATGATGATGATGGCATGATATGACGTTCATGTTCAGAATTTAAAAGACCATTTCCTTCCATGATATTGATCATGATTTTTTTGTCGTCGTCGTTGTTGTCGTTTAGTAGTATTCACATTAATGTTAATATATATATATATATATATGACCAATGTACTTGACATATGATTATATCTATTTGTGTGTGTGTGTGTGTGTAAGAAAGAGAGGGAAAAAAAGAAAAGAAATCAAAACTTTAATTGAATTTTCATTTCAAATTCATCAAACACTGAATCCTGAAATGAAACAGGGTATTATAGTAGTAGTAATGAATTAATGATCAAAAAAAAAAAAAAAAAAAAAGAGAAAATTATAAAAAAACCTTTGCAAACATATTGAATTTAAAATCAAACAAAATATAAATCAACTTTGAAATGAATAAAGTGAATCTTCTTCAATTATGGAAATATAGTGTGAACACGCACACACACACACACACACACAAACAGAGTGACCAATCATCATAATTTGTTTTTTTTCCATCGAAATGATGATTATTATTATGACATCAAACATTGCAGCGAAATTATACAAATACACACCCATTTTATGAAGGTAAAGTGTTTGTCTTTCCCTCTGTGTGTGTGTGTGTGTGTGAAATTATGATTTTTTTTCTCGAAAAAAAAAATATTATTATTGCTTGTGTTGTTTAACAAACAAAACAAAACAAGAAAAAAAATGTCGATGTCAATTTTAATGTAACCGAAAATTCATTCATCTGAATCTAAAATAACAACAACAACAACAACAACTAGAATTACTATTATTATTATTATTATTATAAATTGATGATGAATAGCCGTAGGTAATTAATTTATAAACAAAAAAAAAAAATTTTTCTTTTCCTCATTTCAATATTATGGCCATGATGATGATGATGATGATAATTAATGTAAATCTGAATTATCTGGTAAATGTATTTTATTTTTGTTGTTGTTGTTGTTGTTGTTCTGTACATTCATCCTATCAATACAAGATGAATTGATTTAATCAGTGTGTGTGTGTGTATGTGTATGTTGTTTCCGTGAAAGAAAGAAAAAAAATTAACGTAAAACGTTCAAAAAGATTCTAGAACGGAAAAAAACAGAATTTTTTTTTTTTTTAAAAATCAAAACAACAACAAGAGTAGAATGACGTAAATATTCACCAATTGAAATGATGATGATGATGACGTCTTTTTTTTTTGGTTGTAAACCAAATTTTCAATTCACAAATTAATTGTGATTTAGCAAACAGGAAAGCAAAAAAAATGGCAGATAATTATAAAAAAAAATTAAAATGAATTTTGATGGCCAATATAGAAGATTCGATGATTATGCTAAAAAAACGAAAAAATCATCACCACACACACACACAAGAAAAAAGAGAATTACAATCACTAATCATCAACATTTCTTAAATTTCAAGAATAATAAAAAATAAGAAAAATTCTCATACAAAAAATGAACGAATGAAAAAACAAAACTAGAAATTTTCAATGATAATGGCCATCACCATGCTATCATCATCATCACCATCATTTTCTTCTTGATGACGATTGTCATCGAATAAAAATGACTACACAACAACAGTACGATGATCATCATTTCGTTATCGGTCTCGTGTGTTCATTCATTATCGACTTGGCTATATTATATTTTTTTTTCACTTGTTGAACATAAAAAATGTGTGTGTGTTAGAGAGAAAGAGAGGGGAGAGGGAAGAAAAAAATGGGGATGATAATATCAAGTGGATCAAGAAATTGAACAAAAAAAATAAAATAACAGCTTTCTATTCATATCCCTCTTTACTTTCTCCCTCCAATACTTTATAAACTGTAAATTGAATTGTAAAGTTATCGGTAATTTTAATAATAATAAAATGATGATGCCTAGAGCAAATGGCCATGTGATAAAACCAACAACCTGCTTTCTGTCTTTGTTGTTTTGTTATTATTTTTTTTCTACTCATCGAAATCTAAATCAAATTGAAGAGAATATCAATTTCTGTAATGCAAAAAAAAAAAAAAGAGAAACTCGAATTGGCCATGAATCAACCCCTTTATTGATAATGATGATGATGATCAACGATCGTTTGTGACATTTTCCATTTCACAATATTTCTTACCGGATTCAAGGATTTCTTTTTGTTTTCCATTTTCTAATTACAGAATCAAATGGTTTTTGGCTTGATGTTCGCAATGTATAAAAAAAATTGCAAATAGTAATGATTATTGATTTTGCTATCTAAAATTTCAATTATTTGTTGCAATTAGATAGCTTTGGAAAAAAAATCACCACCATCATTAATCATCATCATCATCATCATCATTTCAACAACAACAACAAAAATATGTTTGTTTTGATCAGAATTTACAAGGCTAAAAATCAAATCAAATCGATTAGGAAATTCCCCATGGAATTTGATTTTATATATCGATGAATTTGAATCTGAATCAATGTAAACATTTGACAAAAATAACCTTGATAATAAAAATAATTTGGATATATATTGAAATGAGATCGAAATAAAATAAAAAAAAAAAACAAAAAATAACGTTTCATCATTTATAACTTACCTTGGCATCACATGTGGTGTGTGTTGATTCGATTCAATGCTATTTGGATGACATTTATTTGTATACGAAATGCAAACAAAAACTTTGAAATGACCAAATGATGACCGAACAAATGATTTGTCTATTTTGGAACAAATTTTCTTTTCTTTTTTTTTGACGACCAATGATTGTCTTGTATATATTATTCAATTATTTCAATAAATTTTCATTTGAAAATCTTTACCATATATACAATATATAAATATGAATTACGTGTGTTTGTAATTTTGGTCAAAATGATTTTTTTTTTGTTGAAATAGGATGATGATGGCGTAATTTGGTTGTTTTATACACAAACACATGAAAATTACAACGTTATAAAATCAATAATTTTTTTGTGAAGATCAATACAATTAGCGAATGATGATAAAAATCAATTAATGAATTTTTTTTATGTTGAATCACACATATACCACACACACACACACACTGACTGAAAATGGTATTATTTTTCCTTGATATGATTGACATCATCATCCCGATGATGATGATGATGATGATAATATTTTGATTCAATCCGTTGTAGCCGTCGTAGTTGTCGTCGTCGTCGTCGTCAATCTATCAAAATCAAAACACCTTTATTTAAAAAGATTCATCATCAAAAACATTCGAAAAAAAAACATACACACGCACACACACACATATGACGTACAGGTAAAACAAGAAATAAAAAGATGTTTTTTCTCTATCTATAGATACTTGATGATAAAATTCCATTCTCATCATCGTCACTCAATGTTGAATGAATTCTATTTTAAACATGATGATGATAATTTTTTTTTCGTTGATTATTAATTTCGATGTCATCATTGAAACACACGCATATTGAATTCGAATTTTTTTTGTGTCTTGAAGGTGTGTGTGTGTGTATTTGTAGATTTTGTTGTTTTTGCACAATCATCATTCACTTTTTATTTTTCATTTTTTTTTATTCAATTCATTAATTCATTGAAAGAGAAACAAATATGAGAAAGACAAAATTAGAGAATTTGAAAAACCAAAAATCAAAAATCAAAAACAAAAAAAACGGAAACAAACGGGCAAAGAATTTTGGTCTCATTGATTGTAATAGAGAAAAAAACGGTGCCGCCATCTATTGTTGGCCATTGTCAACATTTAGAGTTTGGGTTTGGGTTTTTTTTTGTTTAATTTCTAAAATCGTCATCATTTTTTTTGGATTATCATCAAAGATAAGAAAAAAAAATTACATTAAAAATTTATCAACAAAAACAAACTTTGAAAAAAAACAGGTTTGATTATGTGATGTTTTACGCAATTCAATGCACAAAATATGAAATTTAAAAAAAAAAAAATTCAAATTCTGCACATTAATTGACAAAAATAAATGTTTCACAACAACAACAACAACAACAACAAAAAATCATATCAACAATAACAATAAAACATGGTGGTGGACAAATAATGGACAAAAAAAAATGTTCATCTTGATGGATCGAAAATCATTGATGATTTTTTATGATGATGATGATGATGATGATTGGTTCGTTTATAATCTGTTGTGTCAACCAAACAACAACATTTGAAACATTGATTGGTGATGAAATAAAAACCAAAACAAAAATCCAGAAAAAAAACAACATTGGAATATTGTCACAGTTGTTTTTGTTGTTGTTGTTGCAGTAGTAGTGGTAGTTGTAGTATCTATTCAGAAAATCAATTGCAAATTCGCAAATCAAAAACAAGATCAATACTTGATGTGTGTGTGTGTGTGTGTGGATGTTGTTCTCAATAGGCAAGATATTGATAAATCATTCGTAACATTAATGTAATGGTTAGATTTGATGTTGTAACAAAAATTCCAACCAACCAATCGTAAAGACTTTTTCGTCGTAATAATAAATTTTCTGTACCATCACCAGTACGATATTTTCTTGCCACAATCAATTCATTGGATGGTTTTTTCAAATCAAATGTCCAACCACAATGTTCGAATAGATCAATAATCAATGTTGTTAAATTGAAATTATAATAGGAACCATACTCGGATGCTGAATAATCCCATGGAAACGTGTGATGATAATTATGATAACCTGTTGCAATAATAATAAAAAGTATTTATTTATATTAAAAAGAAAGAAAAACCATTCATTCTCTAATTTGTTTGGTTGTTTCAAGATAAAAATATAAATCTGGTTACTATAGTATATATAACCACGGTTGTCTAGCCATTTTCAATTTTTTGATATTTTCAAGTATGTCTGTGTGTGTGTGTGTATGTAACGGTAATGGATTGATTTATCATTGACATCTGTAACATGCAATACCAGCCAAATGTTTTTTTTTTTTTTTTGTTAAATTTTTTGATGATGAATATTTACCTTCACCAAATGTTAGATATACTACGGAATCATTTTCTTTTGGTTCAATATTTACATCATATGGTCGATGTCCCCAAAGATGTGCGGCACTATTCACCAACCATGTACAATGTAATACATAAACATAACGGAAACAAACACAACCTAAAAATGAATGCCATAATGTTTCATTCCAAAAATAGAATGGTATCAATGTTGGTATGATTCCCCAGCAAATAATAACCAATGGTATGTAAAAACGACGCTGAAAACGTATGATTGGATCGGCCCATACATCGGATAGATCAATATTTTTACCTATAGATTAAAAGAAATTCGATTGATTAGTTGTTAAATGAAATAAAAATTTTGATGATTGATTGATTGAATCAAATCTACAATGACCTTGTCATGTGGATTCGATAAATATCAATCAAATGAATTGAATATTAAAGATTATTTCATTATTGCTGTTGCTGTACGTTAAAAATATCATGCAAATGGAACATTGTGTGTCCAAACACAATAAAACATCAGGCCTTGCCATTATCATCATCATCATCATCGTCATATATCCAGCATTATGGCATAAATTTTTCATCAAGCAACAAGAAAAAAAAATCACAAGTATTGACCATCTTGAACAGAAAAAAATAAAAAGAAAAATTGAATCCTATGAACATATTGTAATCCTCATCATCATCAATGATAATACTTCAAACAAACAAAACAAAACAAAACAAAAAAAAACAATCAATCAACTATATGTAAAATGGTCAAATAAATCAATGTGGTCACTCACTCTAAAAGTGATCAAATCCAGACAAGAAACTCAAACACATATATATATAGGGATCATAATTTTTTTTTCAACAAATGCAAAAGACAAAAAAAATGTCTAATAATAACTTGTTGAATGCTGCTGCTGCTGCTGCTGCTATATAATGGTCATTCACTGCCGTCATGTTGATTATCATTGAATAGAATGGAAATAAAAAGTGAAACAAAAACAAACGAAAATTAAACATACAACATATATATATATAGAGAGAAAATGGTAAAATCTGTTAATGTAAATCGATTTCAATTTCATGCAAGTATAGGCTAAACAATGAACAGGTTGACAAATATTGTTGAGATGAAAACACTTTGTAATCATCATCATCATTATTATTATTGTTTAGTTACGATAATTCAATTTCAATCAGTTTATTACCTTTCAATTTAACATCTGAATGTTTTTTAACCATTAACCAGCCCATATGTGCGAAGAAAAAACCACGTCTTGAATTATGTGGATCGGCATTGGTTTCCGAATATTTATGATGAACACGATGATCACGACACCATTCATAAATATCATTTTGTAATGCCATTGTATTGGCAAATGCCAAAATTAATCTATTATTAATTAATTAAAACATTAAAACATAAACTGTGTTAGTGGTGTTTAAAAAATTCATTGGAAAAAAAAGAATTAAAACCTTAATGGCCATTTAGCTTTATATGAACGATGTGACCAAAGACGATGTGCGCCGGCCGTTATACCAAATGATGATGAAAATAGGCCAAGTATAAATGTTGCTATACTTGTTTGCCATTTAATATTTGGATCCATTACGAATATGAACCAGCCATAAATGGCCAATATATGTAGAATGGATAATAATATTACATTACGCCAAACAATATCATTTAATTGTAATAATGGTAATGGATCCGATCGTAATGATTTTTCATTATCATCATCATCATCATCATCATCCGGTATTAAATCAGGTTGATGATAATCATCTTCATTTGAATGATAATTATCATTATCATTATTATTTGAAAGTTTTGTTATGGAATTTCGGATTTCACCACCATTCCTTATGTCCAATACGATGTGTAGTTATACTGTCAACGGCCATAATTTTCTTGTACATTCATAAGAAAAAAAAAAAAAAAAAATTTTCATTATTAGAATAGAAATTCAAATTGAAAATTCAAGGAAAAATAAGGAAAAGAAAATTTTTCAAAAATTTTCATTTTACTAATCACAACTGACAATCAATCAAAATTACTACTTCAAAATCATTCGAATTTTTTTTTTTTTTTTGGATATATTCATTAAATGAATTTTCAATTTCACAATTTCAATGTTACATAATTAAACACATATTCATCAAAGAAATGTGCAAAAATTTCATTTAATAAAACTTACCTATATTAATCCAGAGAAAAAAATTGATTTGATTGATTTTCAGTTATACTGAAATGTGATGATGATTATCGATTTTTTTCTTTCTCATCAATCAATCAATCAATCAATCGATAATGATGAAAAAGACGAAATTAATTGTTCGTTTCCGAATGAAATGAATACTTTTTTCGGTTGAAACTCTTCTACGTGTATGCCAATATTCAAAAAATGTCGAATGAAATTGAAATCATTGAAATCAATGATTTTGAATATTTATTTATTTGTTTGTTGCACAATTTATTTGATTCATCACATTTTTTTTTTCGTTATGATGGTAAGACGAAAAAAAAACGTGGCCAAAACAAACACAAACACACACACAAAAAAACACAATGTTTAGAAGTATTTCACATTTAAAAATTTTCATTCCATTGAATCGGTTGAATGCATTGCTTCATTCTAATATATAAATTGAATATATATACTCTCTAATGATAATAATAATTTCACACATTACACAATCATAATCATCATCTGCATAGAACACACACACACATGAACACAATACAATTTGAAGCACTGAAGATTGAAGATTGGTGGTATATATTGGTGAATAAATATCGTCGAAACTCAAATTATGGCCTCAATTTTGTTTTTCTTCATATTTATATATCTTGTCACAATCGACAAACGGTTTATATAATAATAATAATGGTTTTTCAATCATTTTCATATTTTCGGTTTCAAGTCAAGTCAAGTCATAGCCAGTTTTTCGAATGTATTTGAATGTGTGTGTGTGTGTGTGTTCGATTCGAAATGTTCTTCTTTCTTTGTTTGAAAATAAACAAACACTTTTCCCGAATAAAAGTTGGATTGACCGAAATATTTGAAAGAGTCGACGAAAAAAAAAATGCAAAATTGGGAATAGAAAGAGAAAAAACACATTCATACATACACAGAAAAGAAAGAGTAGAAATCCTTTTGTGTGTGTGTGTGTGTGTTCGGACATTTGTTTCATCATCATCGTCATCCGTTTTTTTCCTGTTGTCGATCATCATCATCATCATAATGCTTGATTCTATGAATAATATGGCCATATTTGTATACAATAAATCGGGCTATCTTTCGGATGAATGAATTGTTGTCGTCGTCGTGGTCGTGGTCGTCGAAAATATTTGCCAAAAAAAAAAAAAAAAAAAAAAAAAAGAGAAAACCATAAAGGGCTTATCTTGTCTTTGTTTCTTTATGGAAGTTTTTTTTTCTGTCGTTCTTATCTACCTATTGTCTGTTCGAGAAGAAAACAAAAAATTCATATTCGATTGCGAAACAAAATTTCTTGATCACATATTTCTTTGAAATGATGTTGACGATGATGGACAATGTGGTGGATCGCGTGATATGATCACCATAAATGATTGACAAGAATTAAAGATTTTTTTCTATATAGAAAAAAATTTCCAAAAAAAAAAAGTTTCATCATTATTATTGCTTATTTTGGTGATTATTAAAAATACCTGAGTTAATAAATAAAAAAAAATTTTTGTCGAGTCACACAAACTGATTGGTGATGGATATTTGAACATCCAAATCCAAACAATATTGATGGTTCGAATTTAATTTACAATGCTTATCGCCATCTGTCGTTTGGAAATCAAACTAGGAATCGGATTTTTTTTTTTTGTTGTTTTGTTTTCATCAACCGGAAACATTAAATGCAATCAGCAATCGATTCTAATGAATTGGAATCAAAATCAAACAAAATTTTTCGATAGCCTTGTTTAGAATTTAACATTCTTGTTGTTGTTGTCGTATTGAAGAGGCGATTCGATTTATAATTCGAGCAGATTTTTCAACGCTCAATGCCATAACCTTAGAACGAAGACGCACGAATTTGAATTTAAAAAAATAAAATAAATAAATGGTTGGTTGGTTGGTTGTTTGGTGGGTGGAGAGGGGGGTTGTTAAATCCATTGGAAATTGATCATCAATTGGCTGTAATTGTTTATTTGATAACCTTGAATGGAATGATCATGAATCGATGATGACGACGTCGACGGGTATCACACACACACACACACACAGACTATTGATACCACCTACGGATCAACCTTGTGTATCATGAATAATTTTTTTTCTACATTGAAATCTTCATTTGAAAAATTTTTGATTACAAAAAAATAAAACGATTCCATTCATTATAAATGAAATCGAAATTTTTGGATCTGAAAATTCAAATTAAAGTTTCAAATTCAAGCTCAAGGTCAGAGATCATTATCGTTTTTTTCAGATAACCAAAAAAATAAATATAAAAAAAAACTTGATGTAATAATGTCATCATGTGTGGGCGCCATGCACATCCAAATTGATGATCATTCTAATTTTATAGAATGAGAATTCTTTGCTGAAAAAAATTTTCTTTTGAAATTTTTTTTTGATGATGATGATGATGATCATCATTGATATACACGTGGACATTGGCGAGGACATTGTGTTATTACGACAATCATCATGATGATGATGATGATGATGACAATTATAGAAGCGTTTTTTTTTGTCTTTTTTCCCATCATTCTATAGTCATCAATGTGGATCTTGAATAAATGGAGAATGAAAAGATGTGAAAGAAATAAAAAAAAAGAGTGGTTGGTGGACTTGAACTGGTGTGTTTCCGCCTATATCATCATCATCATCATCATCGTTTTGTTTGTTCGTTATCATCATAATTTGATGATGATGTTTACCATTCTATCATTGACAACAAATATTCACACAACACCTTCGACACATGTTCTGTTTGGTGTGTGTGTGTGTGTGTGTGTGTTGTTGAATTTTTTTTTTTTCTTCATTTTATATATATAGTTGATTCAATCATTATCATCATCGCCTACACCTTTTTTTTGCAACTTTTATTTTATCTGTTGCCAATTGTTGTTCGTCATCAATATCAAAATTCATATTTATGACCAATATATAAATGTGAAAATACATCATACACACACACACACACACACAAACACATCCGATTGCAATTGTGTTCTTGTGATTCGTGTGTTTGTGTGTGTGTGTGTGTGTGTGTGTCGAATGTTTCCAAAATTGGTTATTGAATTTTTTTTTCTCTGGAAAAAATAAAAAATAAAACACTTTCATTAATTTATTCGGAATACATCGATACATACCATCATCATCATTTTCATGAATTCATTGATTGAATCAACTAAATCGATATTTCATCAATAACAAAATTTTTTTTCTTCTTATTCTTGTTGTTGCTGTTGTCGTTGTGTTCTGTGTTTCAAATTCGGTCAAATTCGTTTCGATACGGAATTTTTTTTTTTTGAATCGATCATCATCAAAGATGATGTCATTACGACGATGGACAGCTATAATTTTTTTATTTGGTAAGTTAATCGAATCATAATCGCGTTGTTCATGTTTGATTGAATTTGGTTCCAATAACAACAACAGTGATATCTTGCGATTTATCATTCAATGTTGAAATTATACCCAAATATACATCATCAACGGGTAATAAACCATTACGATTTACACGTGTAAAACGATGCCGTCAAGGTGGTATTGATTGTCGTACGTATCGTTTGGTTGCACCATGTCCACCGGAAATTTGTGGTGTTGATAATAATAATAATAATAATCGTCGTATTAGTCAACCATTACAAAGTGAATCCGTTATACATGAAACATATGTATCACCACCGATTACATATGTTTCATCATCACCATCAACATCGAATCATCGTTCGGAATATTCATATTCATCATCAGCATCAAGTTCGTCATCGTCTTCAAGTTCATCACGAATAATTAGCCATAATCATACACCGATACCACCACCAAGTCCATCGAGAATCATTGAACGACGGATAGAAAAATATCGTCCACAACCAATTGTACAGCAGAAAATTGTACAGGAACCTATTGTACAACAAAAAATAGTTCAGGAACCAATTGTACAACAAAAAGTTGAAACTTATGTTCAGAAAACCGTACAAAGACCGATTTATCAACAACAGAAAATCATTCAGCAACATATTCCGATTGTGCAGCAAAAAATCGAACGTATCATACAAGAACCACCAGTAGTGCAGCAAAAAGTTGAACAAATCACACAAATAAAAACACCGATTGTACAACAAAAAATTGAACGTATCGTACAGAAACCAGTTCCGGTTGTGCAGCAAAAATTCGAAAGAATTATTGAAGAACATCATCACGTAAAATCATCACCAAAAGTTGTACAAGTTGATGAAGAGATTCATACAATAATACAGAAACCAATAGTATCATTACGTATAACAGCTTGTCCAGAAGGTCATTATCTATCGGCAGATGGCACTCATTGTAAACATATTGATTGTGAAAGTGGATTCGAATTCAGTGATTTATTATTGAAATGTGTCGATATTGATGAATGTACCGTGTCGACAGCTTGTCTTCGTGATGAACAATGTATCAATACATATGGATCATATGTGTGTAGAAAAATCTGTACACAAGCTGGTTATCGTTTGAATGAAGCTCATAATACATGTGAAGATATTAATGAATGTATTGAAGATTTACATAGTTGTGGACCACAACAACAATGTATCAATACACCTGGTTCATATCGTTGTGAATGTCCGAATGGTTTCCGTTTGGATGGCCAACAATGTATCGATATAAATGAATGTATTGAATCACATGATCATCTTTGTCCACATGATGTATCCACCTGTGAGAATACACCCGGTTCATATTATTGTAAATGTAAACGTGGTTTTGAAAAAGATCATCGTGGTCGTTGTACAGATTTTGATGAATGTCTCATTAATAATGGTGGATGTTCACAACGTTGTATCAATAAATATGGTTCATATGAATGTCATTGTAATGATGGGTAAGTTTGTTTGTGAAAGTGATTGATTGACAACCAATTAATTGATTCATTGAAAACAAAACATTTTAGATTCAAATTAAGTGCTGATGGCCATACATGTGTTGATATTGATGAATGTGTTGAATATTCACATACAGGAATCTGTTCACCACAAGTTTCAATTTGTGAAAATACCATTGGTTCATATAGATGTCGTTGTCGTACTGGATTCCGTGATCCTGATGGTACTGGTAAACATTGTGTGGATGTAGATGAATGTTTAGAGCAAACAAATCTTTGTGAACAAAAATGTATCAATACATTTGGTTCATATAAATGCACTTGTAATCGTGGCTATCGTGCTGTTGGACCACATCGTTGTGAAGATATTGATGAATGTCATGAAGGTGATTTTATTAATGATATTGCATTCAGCCGTTTCCGTCATGATGATCATGATGGTCATCCAAAATTATGTCAAGGTGGTTGTGAAAATTCAGCTGGTTCATATCGTTGTACATGTCCAAATGGTTATAATTTAGTACATAATCACCATTGTCTTGGTAAGTGATTTTATTATTATCATCATCATCATTAAATAATTATAATATGACATTGGTAATCATCACATAATTATTATCATCATCTTCATCATCATCAAAAGTCTTCTTCTAGTCAATTGATGATTGTCTAATAATGATGATAATTGTTATTGTTTCTTTAATTTAAATGTAGTTAATTTTTTTTTTGTTTCATTGTCAAATGTTTTTCACCTGTTGCTATTTCTTTTTCTTTTTTTTCTCACATAAAGATATTGATGAATGTCGAGAATTTGGATATTGTCGTGGTTCGAATCAATCATGTGTTAATATTGGCGGCAGTTTCCGTTGTATTGATGATCGTTGTCCACCTGGTTATCATAAAGATGGAGTGTATGTATATTTGATTTGTATTTTAAAGAATCGCGGTTCTTAAATTCTTTTTTTTTTGTAGACAATGTAAAATAAGTCAACGATTAAATTATGCTGAAATATGTGATGATCCAACCGAAGTCTGTGCTATTGATCGTGTTATCTGTTATTCATATGCATACATTGCATTCCGTTCACGTATGATTAAACATGAAACTGAAACAACCATTGTAACGACTACGACAAAAGGTGAAACAAAATCTGATATAAAAACTGGTGGATATCAATCAGCTGTCACTGTACAACGGTTAAAACAACAACCATCAATTGGTAATAATAATAATAATGGTCGTGGACATGAATTCTTTACGTTTGTCGTACCAGTTGAATCACCAATTATTGTTGATTTTAAATTACGTTTAGTATCGGTAAAATCACCAAGACCAGGTGTACGTGCTGCTAATGTTAATGATTTTGAAATGCGTCGTACAAAAGATAATGAAGTACGTTTGGCCATAATGTCATCATTAGAAGGACCACAAGATATTGAATTGGAAATTGAAGCAAAAATGTATAAAAATGGTCTACAGATTGGTAAAAATTTGGCTATTGTAACAGTTTTTATTTCTGAATATGAATTTTAAAATTCATATATAATTTATCAATTTTAATTTAATTTAACTTTTTAATTCGATCCAAAACAATCATACACACACACACGCACACACCTACCGAAAATTCTTGTATAACAAATGTAATATGGGTGCTAAAATGAATAAAAAAATCCGTTTTTCGATCATCATCATCAAATCCTTAACGTTCGAACCTGTTACACACACACACACACACACAGACAGACAGAAAAACCTTAAAATAGAAAAATTCATTCAAGAAAAAAAAACAGTAAAGTGTGAAAAAAAACTTTGTAACGGTAATATCATACTATAGTAACGGTACAACAGTAACATGTAAAACAAAAAAAATCGAATGATTTTTTTTTTTTTGGTTGTTGTTTTTGCTGACATAATTTTCAATGATGATGATGATGATAATACAACATAATCCTTTGTTGTATGTTGCACAAAAAAAAACACCATATCATCATCATCATCATCGTCGTGATTCGAAGGTCGATTCGGATATTCTTTATGATGATGGCAAACAAAAACTACCGGATCTAAATCAGATGGTAATCCAAAAGAAATGCATTTTTGTTTCTATTAGAGATAGATAATAATAATAATGTGTAGTAGGTTATCAATGTTTCTCTTATCAATCATCATTCTGTGGAAAAAAAAATTCCACTCAAACAGCGGTTGATTGTTTGATATAAGTTTGACATGTGTTGTTTATTTCGTTCAACATTGACTTGCTTAAGATTACGATAACAAATGTCATTCAAAAAAATTCTTTCTATCGTTGTTGTTGTTGTTGTTGTATTTTTGATTTTCAATATCAATGACTATATGAATAAAGAAAAGAAAAATCAAGATTCTGATTGACATTTAAACTTTGTTGTTGAACTTCATGTGTTGATATCATCATCATCATCATCATCATCAACAACTATCATCGACCACCACCACCACCACCACCACCCCCTACCACAACAGCCAGCCATTGAGAATTATAGCCAAAAAAAATAAAAATAAAAATTACCGCTACAACCATCGAATGAGAAAAACAACAGAAGAATAATAAAGCTAATGATGATGATGATGAATATGTTCAAAGTCATCTCAAACATTTAAGAACAAAATGAATAATAAAGAATCGACGACACTCACTCTCACACATCTACTATTTGTTCGGATGAGTAAATCTAATTGAATGATAAATTCTGTGTGTGTGTGTGTGTGTGTGAGATTCGAATTTCATGAATCCTTTGCTGTTGTTGTTGTTGTTCACAACTTTTAATATGTGATAATATACGTGATATTTAACATTTTTCTTCAATGCAAGAAACATAGACAAACATCAATTCTAAGCATATTATTAATCATATCAACAATCATTCGAAATTTATCATCATCATCATCGTAATCATCAAAAGGAATAAAAAAAACAACAAAAAAACAGCCGAAAACATTTTAATGTGATAATATATGGCTTATTTATGTGATATGATGATTACGAGTGATTTGGATTCAAATTTCTAGTTTTCAACGATGATGATGATGATGATGATGATGATGATAACAAACAATAACAAAACTCACGTCTACAAAATACATAATTTTCAAAAAAATAATTCTCTCATCAATTTCAATGTGGACAAATAAATGACTGTGTGGTGTGATCAACAATATTTATGAATGAAAAATAATGTCGATTGAAAAAGCTGGACACATCTGTTTGACAACATTGGAATATGCATTCGAACGTTCACGATCATTGACAACACAATGTCCATCATGTGGATTACGGTTAATTATACGTTATGATCATTTAGGTTTGTACCCATTCATCATTTGAATCTTCGTTGATCTAAATTTCTTTTTCCATAATCAATTAGTTAATCGAGCTTCATCATTAGGAGTAATAATTGGCATAAGTGCATTGATTGGTTATCATTTAGGTGCCAATAGTGGTTGGATCAATCAATTTAGCCGAAAATTAATTCGATTTTTCAATTTTCGTAATGATCCTGAATCACAACAACGACGACAAAGGCAACAAGCTTTGGATATGAAAAAAATATTTCGTAAATATGATTATCAAACATCATCATCATCATCATTATCATCATCATTACCATTACAATCAAATGATTCAGCATTCAATACGATGCAAAGTGGTTCAGATTATGAAGAATATGATGATCAGCTTTATGATATGTTTACATATAATAAATATTATGATGATGATTTATTCACCAATCTTAATTCACCATCAAATGTGAATGATAATCGAAATAGATTTTTTCATTCAAAAACTGTGGACAAAATCGATCAAGTTTTACATCAAATTGATGATATTAAAAAATCTATTGTTGAAATTGATGATGAACTTTATCATGTAACCGGATCAAAATATGCAAATTTTAATCCAGATTTTTTTACATTGGCCGATATTGGTTGGGATGATGAATCATCATCATTCTCTGATGGTGGACCAATTTCAGTAAGAAATACGAATATGATACACAGTACGATGGATATGAATAATCGAAATTCAAAATCGATATATCGAAAACGAAAACATCGTTCCATTAATAACAACAACAACAACAACAAAGGTGAACAATATTCTAGTCGTCCACAAATGATGCAAACACCAACAACAACAACAAATGATCATTATCAACAACAACAACAACAACAATCAACATATGAATATTATGATGATGGTGAAATGGAATTAGAACAACGACGTTCAAGTCGTCAAAGTTTTGGATCAACAGAAACAAATATTCAACAACTTGAATGGGATGAAACAGAATGTGAATTTTGTTTTCATTATCAATCAACATCCACTGCAATGGATTCAAATGAACCATTGTTGATTGATGATAAATCAATAGAACAAATAGATCAAACAAATTCATCATCATCATCATCATCACCATCATGTTCGACAATGATAACACAGCCAATAATGATGACCGATGAACAAAAATTACAAAATATGCAAGATTTATTTGAAGAAGCTAAACGTTTAGGCTTATTGAACAATATAATTGATGCATTTTTACATACAAATTCCAATGAATCGATCAATATGAACCAATCACCAACAACAGCGACCATAAGAAAATTATCATCAACATCATCAACGATGGCTACAACAACAAGTGATCATCAAGATGATTATGATGATTACAATAATAATAATAATAATACAGAACAAAAACAAATTTGACCCCAAAAAAAAAACAAAACAAAACAAAAACATTTTGAACAATTATGTTGCTCATAAACAAAACACAAATTTCGAATAACAATATGGTAAACCCACCCATCAATCAATGTTCGAAGCCATTCATTTATTTTTGATCTCCATTCTATTTCTTTTTTTTTTTGTTGTTGGCTCAAGAATTTGTCTCAATTTTTTTTCCCATTTAATCAATCAATCAAATTAGATTTATCACAAATCATTAATCAATCAATCAATGATTTCAATGTCAATGATTTCTTAAAGAAAATTCTTTGATCATCATTAATAATAATAATAATCAAAATTGAAATGAAAACAAAGTTACATTTGGTTCAACAATTTCATCTATTAAATCATTTATATATATCGCACAGACATATAGACACTGGTGATTGATTAATTGATTGAAAATTGATTTTTTTTTTTTTCAATTCAATCAATATATATATAATCAAATACCATTATCATCATCATCAGCACCGAAATCTCAAGTGTTAACAGTTATTATTATTATTATTATCGTTTTTCCTGTCGGCTTTTCTGTTTTTATTGATCGATTCTTTTGATCTTTTGAATTTGTGGAAAAAAAACAGAAAAATGTTGGCGCCAATGTTGATCATCATCATCATCATCATCATAATTAATTCAATATTTGTAATCGTCCAAAAAAAACGTCATCATCAACACGAGCATTCGATACATAAATAGAGAATGGTCTGATTTATTTGGACAGAAAAAAAATTTTTTGTTGTTGTTGTTTGATCAGATTTCCAATCATTCAAACCTTATTTTTATTATTGGTCATAATATATATACGAAATCATCACAAGCATTGAACATGTTGAATAAAAACTCAACATCATCGTTCGTTTTCATCATGATCGTCATCATCATGAACAATGTTTATGGTCAAATTATCGATGTTTATGACCGACGATTATTTTATCAAAAAACTGATCCAAAAGTCTATGATTCCAGATTGGATCCAAAAGGTATATTCATCATCATCATCATCATATGTGATTGATTAATTTTTCTGTCCGCACAGATTTAAATCAGGTGGAAATTGGTTTGAAATTATTACATTTTGGTCCGGTGGATGAGAAAAAATCCCAATTTACTGTATTGGTTCATGTTTATACATGGTGGAATGATCATCGTCTATCATTGCCTGATCAAATGGCCAATTCAACACGATTATCATATCTGGATGTAGATTGGACAGATATTACAAGGATATGGCGACCAACCATACATTTTGCCAATGCCGTACCATTTACAGCGGATATTTTAACTGATAAATTGTCTGGTCAAATTTCCGGCACCATAAGTGGTGATGGCCGTGTTTTTCTAATCAAAAGGTAATTAGTCATTGATTTCTGTTTCATTTTTTTTATTTTATTTTATTTTATTTCATTCTTCAACATTAGAACTCAATTAACAGCAAGTTGTAAATTTAATATTAAATTTTATCCAATGGATAAACAACAATGTTGGATTGAAATTGAATCCAATTCAATGACGGCTAGAAATTTTCAAATGAAATGGTTAGATGAACAACCGATAGAAATACCGGATAATTTTAATTGGGCAAATTTTGGATTGAAAAATTTAACCACACAAACCGTACGTATGACATATCGAAATGGTGGCCCATATGTTCGATTGGCAGCTACATTTGAATTAAGACGTCATATGACACATCATATATTCAATGTTTATTTACCATCCACATTGTTTGTCATTAGTTCATGGTCATCATTTTGGATTCATATACCGGCTGCACCGGCACGTGTTGCATTAGTATTGACAACAATGTTGACACATGTAACTAGTACAAAAGCAGTACTTGATCAAATACCACGTACAAAATTTGTTAGCTCATTAGATATATGGATTATAATGTGTACAATGTTTATATTTGCTGCCATTATTGAATATGCAACAGTAAATTATTTCTATACAAAACCAGAACGTATACAGGATAAAAATCAAGATCCAATACTACTACTATGCCAAATCGACAACAACAACAACAACAGGATTTATCATCCACACAATTGGACATCAATGGTAATCGTCCAGATTCATCATCAAGCAACAATACTAATACTAGTAATAATAAAAGTATGGCTAAATTTGTTTATTATTGGCATGATATATGGCAAAAAATATTACCACCATTCAATAATGATGATGATGATAATTTTAATGCTAAAAAAATTGCATTAAAAATTGATCATCGTTCACGTTTTATATTTCCAATTACATTTTTATTATTCAATATTTTCTATTGGACAATATTGGCCATTTATTCTGATCAAATTGAATAGGCTATGTGAATAATTGAATGGAAATGAAATGAAATCCAAAAAAAAAAAAACGACTAATTAATCAATCCAATTTCAATGATCTCATTTCTTTTTCTGTTTTACTGTTTGCATCATCATCATCATTATCCTCAATAGAAATGAATATATTTTGGATTTGAATTTTTTAACTTTAGTTAATTATAAATTTTTTTCCGACTTTCATCATCACCGATGATGATGATGATGATGATTATCATCGATTGACTGATAATAACAACACATTGATTATAATCTAATATTTTCATGGTCAAATTTTGATTTTTGTTTCTCAAAGAAAAAAAAATAAATAAATTAAATTTCAAAGTTTTTTGCTGAAAAAAAAATTACAATTCAAAATGGACATTGATTTAAAATGTTCAATAATCACCGCAATGGTTTTCAACACACTGTTTTTTTCCATTGACCACCATTGATGATTATCATCATATACCACAATCGAATTATTTTTGGACATTTCTTTTTTTTTGTTTTGTTTTTTTTTTCATGAATCTCATCATCATCATCAATCTATGATTGTTGTTGTTGTTGTTGTTGTTGATGTCGAATCATTCATATATACAATTTTTATACATTCATTTCGAATCTTTGAATGATTATTATTACACATATGATGATGAACTGTGTGTGTGTCTGTGAGTTTCTTTTTTTGTTGTTGTTGTCTTTTTTGGCCATCCAACAACGAAAATAAATGTGGCCAGTAAAATGGAAAAAAAATGTGTGTGTGCCTGTGTGAATACAGAAAAAAAAGAGATGGATAGAGATAAAAAAAAGAACGAGATAAATTAGATGGATGGATGGATGGATGGATAAACTTGATGAATTTTAAAATCCAAATAATTTTTCTATTTGGAAAAAAATAAAATGTGTAGAAACAACAACAACAACAACAACAACAAAAACGCAATTTTTAGTTCTTGTAACGAAAAATGAGACAATAATTGAATTCGACACACACACACACATGGATGTTTCTCGAATAAATAAATGCCCGGTACAGGTACGGTAATCATCATCATCATCATCATCATCATCATCATCACCGGTCAAAGATAACACCCAGCAAAAAAAAAATGTAATCAAGATGTAATTTCATTTCTTCAATGGAAAAAAAATGAAAAACTAGCGCAACAAGCTTTTCCATGTATGAGAGAGAAATTGGAATTTATTTATTTTGGCGTGAAAAAGAGAGATTTTTGTTTTTGAAATTTATCGTTATCGACGTCTATGTGTGTGTGTGTGTGTGTGTGTTGATCAACAACACTATTTATCAAGTTTGAGACCGGCTATCCACACATTGATCACATTGTAATGTGTGTGTGTGTGTGTGATATATGGCATGGTTTTTTTTCATGTGATGTTTGGCCCAATAACGATCTCGAATTTTTTTTTTTTTCACTGTGATTGATTTTGTGATTGTTGTTGTTGTTGTTTGAGATCCAAAAATCCATGTTCTTGACACATGTGTTGTGAATTATAATTCCAATCAAACAATCGAGATTCAACATTCATAAGTTTTGTTGTTGTTGTTGTTGTTGTGGCCAATTTAAAATAATTGGCAATTCGTTCGTTTTTTTGGTGATTATTTTACATGATTGTGATTAATAACAAACCAACCAACCAACCAACAAGAACAACAATGATGATGATGAAACGAACATTTACCATCATTATTCCATTATTATTAACAATTATCTGGTCATTACAATCAATCGATACATTGGAAATTTGGAGCGTCTATTTCGATGAAACGGTATTTGTGAGCGGGTGGATGTTTTTCGGAATTTTTTTTTTTTTTTTTAAATTAATCTGATGAAATTTTTATTTTTATTTTTTCCAGCAAGAATTAATCACAACAACAACGACGACAGATGACAACAACAATACAACAAATTGTTTAATCAGACAAATTGTCAGCATACCATTCGATGATAATGATCAACAAATTCGTTATATTAATGAAATTCGAACATATATTGAAAATGGTGATAAAATTCTTCGTATGGAATTGATTCTTTGTGATGAAATTATCGATAATGATATTGATGATGATCGAATGATTAATGAAGAATTAATTTTTATGGATAAAAATGAAACAAAATATGTTTGCATACAACGGCTATCGACAGCAAAATGGCCAAATTTAGAACATAATCAAACATTGATACAATATCCAGCCAATGTAGGGCTTGCATTCAATCATTATCGATCAATGGATTCGGGCAAACAAACATTATTATTAATGATTGAATATTTAAATGATTTTTACGATCAAATTATCGATCATTCTGGTTTTGATATTTATCTATTGGATGAGACAGAAATCACCATTGAAGCTGGTATTATTGCCATTGGCATTGTACCGGATTCTTTCTTTTTTATTCCACCTAAATTAAATCATTGGTCAATGAAAGGTGTATGCAATACAAATGTTTGCATACAAAATGTATGTTTATTTATTCAATTTCTAACTATCGATTGATTGGTTGATTGATTTATTGATTGATTTGTTTTGATTGATTTGTTTTGTTTTCTATTTACACATAAAGCAGATTGATAATGAAATTCGAATCGTTTCAGTGATTGCCGGTACAAATCATCATTATATTGATGAAATGATTGTTGAAATAATTGATCATCAAAAACGACGACGACGACAACAAATTTTCTCTTTAAATAATAATGGTGGTGAACAACGAACATTTGAAATGTTGATTGAATCGCCAATAATCAAAACGACGGCAATGGATAAAATTATTGTTGAATGTAATTATATAAATACATCAAATCGAACTGTCAAAGTAAGTTTATTTTTATATATAATAAATTTATGTAAATATAGTGAAGGGAAAAATTATTGATTGTTGTCGTTTATTTATTTATTTACAGGCTGGTTTCGATGATGAAAATGAAAATTGTCTTGTTTGGCTACATCATTATCCACGAATCGATGGATTGGATGCATGTCTATCGACACATTCATTGGCAACAATCATGTCATTATTAGATCTGAATGATTTGAATGTTACATTGACCAGGTATAATTTTTAAATTATCATTACGAATGTGAGAAAAAAAATTGAATCTATCTTGACTTGTTGAATCTAATATTTAGATCAAATGGAATTGATTTACGGATACCTGATAATAATCATGGCTCAAAACAAATGAATCTGAATGAATTTTTAAATGAAAAAGATCAAAATCATAATTGGAATGTTGATAAATTAATTCGTGCTAAATATAATGCAATGAAAGGAAGACAAATATCTAGCTGTGGTTGGAATCCAATGAAAATCGATCTAAATCGACGACGACGACGACGAGATGATGATGGTGGTGAACAAAAAAAAAAATTATCTTGAATCTGTGAAAATTTTTTTTTCTTGGTCATTCGGTTAATTGTATGGAATTTACTTGCATCTTCATCTTGCATCACCATCATCATCATCATCATTATCATTGTAAAGGATTGCCATTTGTTGTTCATCAAGGTCTAATTACTAAAAAAAAAAATCATCCCTTCCTATTCAATTGTCCAAAAAAAAAAAAAAAAAAAGATTTGGGTACTACTGGCCTCTCTTTGAGAGACAACAGAAGAAAGAAAAAAACCACCACCCATTCAATCAACCAACCTTCAAGCTTTAAGCCAGAATCAATATTCAATAATCATAATGATCATCAAGATAAGCAAATCCATGATGATGATGGCCAAGTGAAAATAAAAATACACACAAATAAAACATCCTAAAATAACTGGTTTCCGATTTTCGAATATACTCATACTATAGCTATCCTAACATTCATCAATGACATCAAACGATGATGATGATGATGATGATAATTATTGTAAATCATGAAATGATGATGAAAAAAAAATTTGAAATAAAAAAACATCACATAACAACTACTACTACTACTACTACTACTACCTGTAACTTTTACTTTCGTCTCAAATCTTTTTTGTATCGTCTTTTTTTCCCCATAAAAATTGAAATGAAAATGAAAAAAACGGAAATCAAGGATCTAAAAACAAACATACTACAGACTATATGTGAAACCGTTTTGTTTTGTCTCTCTCTGTGTGTGTGTGTGTGTGCGCGTGTATGAATCATCATCATCATCATCATTTTCATTGATCCAAATAAATAAATTTGTGTTCCCCTTTTATTTTGATTCAAAAAACTTGTTTTTTTTCTATAAATTGTCGAAAAAACAAAAATCGGAAAAGAAAGAGTCCACAATCAATGTTCAATGCATTATGATGTATGATGTGTTCCAAGAACGTTTAAGTTCGTTTAACTAACACTTTTTTGTCATTGAGTGTTGTTGTTGTTGTTGTTGTTGTTGTTGTTGTTGTTGTTGTTGTTGTTGTTGTTGTTGTTGTTGTTGTTGTCTATATCGAAGAACGTTATTCACAATTTAATTTCATTGGATTTCTCTTCTCTCTCTCTCTAGCTCGTGTTCGATTTGCACGTTGTTCATTTTTCTCTCTTTTTTTTCTCACCAATGTTACAACAACGGACAATAACCACCATCATCATCATCATCATCAACACGTTGACAGACAATGATCCTTTAACACAAACTTTTTCGATGTTGTCGTGGCATTAGAATTTTTTTGTTTGTTTGTTTGTTTGTTTACTGTTTTATGGTTTGTTGTCATTTTTTTCTTTCCTTTTTCCTTCTTCGAACTATGATGATGATGATGATCATCAACCAATGTTGTCATTGTTGTTGTCAACCAAATTTTTGTCATTTTGTTGTCATGCCAAAAAGTAGGTGAAAAAAAAACAAATCAAATCACTGATCAACGTAACCAAAAAGAAGAAAAAAAAATTCGAACGTAATTTTTTTTCCATTATCTATGAATGGGCACAGAATTTTTTTTTTTTTGATTTCGAACATCTTCTGTTTTTTTTTTTCTATATATACACTGTATTTAATGATAATGATTATCGATCGATCGATTTGATTTGATTGATGATTATTGTAATATGATATGATGATAATCGATTTATATATAAAGAAACATCGAACCACATCATTCAGTTATCATCCTTTTTCTTATATATCACATTGATCATTCTTCATCATTTCACATCAACAACGCAAACAAACAAACAAACAAACACACACACATAAATATTGTCCATTTTTTCCTCAATATTATCAATCACCAAAAAAAAAAAAAAAAAAAAACAACAACAACAACAACAAAAATCATTCGATTTTATGTTCTGCTGCTGCTGTGTCTGTGTGTGTGTGTGTGTGTGTGTGTAAACATTGCAAATATTGATTTTTGAATTTTTAAAAAAAATTGAAAAATTTTTTTTCATCATCAATCAATCAATCAATCAATAAAACTACACAGTGGTGCTGGTGATGGCTGTGAAAATAAACTATTAAGTTTTCTGTGTCTTTGTCATTTTATTTTATCAACACATCGAATAAACTTTACTAAACACGCGGTTCATTAAACAAATGTTGAGACAAATTAAAATTTTCACATTCATCAACAACAATAACAATTTTGCATGTTTCGTTGTATAAAAAACAAAAAAAAATTTTTTTCTTATCATTTCCAGTGAAAAATTGTGCTCAACATTTTTTTTTCTTTCATATTCGTCGTTTACAAATTGTATATCCGGTGATAATTTGTTCTAAACACACACACACACACACACACACACACACACATTGTGTGGAAATAGATTCGAATGTAAATGTGAAATTGAAACCAATTTTTTTTTTTTTTTGACATTTTATGAATTTTCTTTCATCTACTGCTCTAACTTTATGAAAATTTTTTTTTTTTTTGTTTGTCATTTAATCAAAATTTTAAAGATTTTTAATCTTGTGGCCATAACATGAACGATTTTGTTCATATTATGAATGATAAAAATTGGCTATGAATATGATGATGACGATGATGATGATCATGATGATCATTGAACAATAGAGCTTGAACAAAAAAAATCAATTGATCAAATGTCTTCTTGTGTTTGATGATTGTGGTGGTGTGGCTGGTTCATTGAATTTATCGACAGTAAAACAAACAATTTTGCCATCGTCATCTCTAATCATACGAGTGAGAGAAAAAAACGACAGTCGACAATATTAATATTTTCACAACGTGTTGTCTGCTGCTGTTTTAATAATCATCATGATGATGATGATGTAAGGCATATTTTATCGATATTTCCATCATTACAATCAATAAATCAATCGATCGTTCGTTCAATCAATCAATTTAGTCAACATTGAAATTTTATATTGAAAAACACGAACAACACTACAAATATAAATTTTTTTTTTTTTTGAAACGAAAGAAAAATCCCTCGTTATTTATATCCGATTTTATTTTCATCATCATCATTATTATCATTGTAATGATGATAATAGTAAATTGAGCATAGTCATCATCATCATCAGCATCGTTGCCATTTAATTATCATCATCATCATCATCGTCGTACGATTGTTGTCGTCATCATCCATCATCATTGTTATATTTCAAATGCAATATAATATTGAAAATTGAATCGGAAATTAAAAATCATCAAATTGAAAAATTTTTTTTTTTTTTTTTTGTTTCGAAAATGTTGACATTAATTATAACGCTATTTGCCATCCAGTTGATCATATTGATCCTATATCTTGGTCTAGCATCGGTTGGACATAGATTTTTTATCCATCAAATCTATGTTAGTAATCTATTGAAATTATTTGAATATGGACAACGTGGTGTTGAACGTATTAATCAAGAGCTACAACAAAAACGACGAAATCGTCATAATCAACAACAACAACAACAGCAGCAGCAGCAAAATGGTGGCCATTTTAAACGAACTGAATCACAAGAATCGAATGATCGTATTTCATCACATTCATCATCAATGGATTCTGATTATAATACGGATAGTGCTTTTGATTCTGATTCAGATGTTGATAGTGATGATGAAGGTATGTTGTGATCATCATATATTATCTAATTTGTCATTATTTTTCATTTGTCATCATTTACATTTAAATAGTGCCGGAAAGTTTTCGAAAAAATTGTTCAATGACATTAAGATTATGTGAAACACAAAATCGTTTACAATTATCCACAGTAATGGATTTTACATCGCTTGGTATAGAGGCAATCATTGATGATGCCGTTACAAAACGTTTTGCTGCTGAAGAATTAAAAACATGGAATCTATTGACAAGAACCGATAATTTTTCACATTATCGATCATTTCGTCTTGCATTCATATGGCTTTGTGGTTTTCTATTCCGTTATCTAATACTATTTCCAACACGTCTATTTATATTTATCATTGGTATTGGATGGTTATCGTTTGTTTGTACATTTCTTGGTTTCTTACCGGAAACCCGATTCCGTAAAGCTATACAATATTATCTATTGATACATGTTTCACGTATATTATCACGTTCATTTGGCAGTATTATCAATTATCATGATGAAGAAAATAAAGCACAACCTGGTGGCATTTGTGTGGCTAATCATACATCACCTATTGATGTTATTATTTTACATTGTGATAATTGTTATTCACTTATTGGACAATCACATAGTGGATTTCTTGGCATATTACAGCGTACAATTTCACGTTCATCCGATCATATTTGGTTCGATCGTTTTCAAATGAATGATCGTTTGGGTAAGTTTTTTTTGTTGTTGTTTTTTTCCATATTTTTTTGCTAATTTATTTATTCATTTATTCATTCATTCATCCAAAACAAATTGCTAAATAAGCTGTATCACGTAGATTACGTCAACATACAGAGGAGAAAAAGATGCCGATATTAATTTTTCCTGAAGGAACCTGTATAAATAATTCAGCCGTTATGATGTTTAAAAAAGGTAGTTTTGAAATCGGCGCTACCATCTATCCGGTTGCCATAAAATATGATGCACGTTTTGGTGATCCATTCTGGAATTCAAGTAAATATGGCTATCTACGTTATTGGATGATGATGATGACATCATGGGCAATTGTATGTGATGTTTGGTATTTACCACCAATGACACGTAAATTGGATGAATCAGCCATTGAATTTGCTAATCGTGTCAAATCAAAAATAGCATCAAAAGGTGGCCTAGTTGATATGGAATGGGATGGACAATTAAAACGACAGCCAGTGAAACCAGAATGGATTAAACAACAACAATGGAAATTTAGTCAAACATTATTATCCGGTTTGGATAATGATGATAATAATTATCTACAAGATGGTAATAATAATCAACAACAAAATAGCCGTAATGATAATTGTGATAGAAATGAAAATTTCATCTATACAAATTTCGATGTTCAATTAACAACCAAAGTAAATGCTCTATATGATCAACAACAACAACAACAACAAGATGAAGATGAAGAATCTGAGCTATTAAAAATGAAAGAATTGTGATAAAATACTACAACAACAACAACAACAAGAAAAAAAAACGGGATCTACACACACATCGAACAAATCATCATCATCATCATCATCATTATCATCATTTAATCATCAATCATCGATTTGTATTTCAGAAGTTTTTCATCACTTTGTTTGTTTTTAATTGTTTGAAAATATTATTCAAATTAGAATTTTTTTTCTCCTTCCATATAGAAATCTGAAAAATTTAATTTATATATATAAACATTTGATAAATATAGATTCGTATGGATTATGTATGATTTTAATTCAATTGATTAACGAGATTATTAATTAATTTTATAATAATTTAATAAAATTGAATTTCAGTGAAAAAAAATTTTTTTTTTTTTTGGCCGAATTTTCAATCAACAGGTGGCAGCATTATGAGCGATCAATTTAGAAACATATGGATAAAAGATGGCGCCACACGAGCCTTAAATTGTTTATGTTAATGTTGAACATTTTTGTTCGAAATGAATTTTTTTTTCCGAAGAAAAAAAAAAGGATTCCCCAAATCATCATTTATCATAAACAAACAAACAAAAAAAATGGTGAATAGAATCAACCGAATTTCTGTCGTAAATTCTCATTGATCATCATCATTACTTATTATTATTTTGATTGTCATCATTTTGAAAAACTTCATTGAAAAAAAAAATCTTAATCACTTTGAAGATGATTATTATAAAATCAGTGATGAAAAAAAAATTGTTCATTTTTCATCCCTTTTTTCCACTTCTATGGCCGATTGATTTCTATAATTCTATTCTACAATTCATCACCAATTATCAACTCTCTCTCTCTCAAATTCACAAAAAAGGGAAAATTTTTTCAATTCAAATTCAAAAAAAAAAAAAAAATTCATCATCGATTACGAATGATAATGATTATAAAAAATGGGTATTCGAATGGAACAAAACAAAAAATGATGATTATTATCATCATCATCATCATCATCATCATTATGATTATGATTATTATCGAAGAAAGAAACAGCAACACACACACAAAAAAAATGAATCGAAATTTGCGTGTTTGGATTGTGTTTTTCAAAAACAATGACGATGATCACCAAATCGAATAATTCTCATCGAATGATCGAATCTTTGGATATAGATAAATGATTCGAATGAATGAACCCTCATACATCGTTTATCGAATAAATCAAAATTCGTCTGAGATGATGATGAACAAACAAAACAAAACAAAAAAAAAAATTTTTGACAATTTTCAAAACTGGCCAGCCATTTAATTGTTGCAAATGTGCTTTCATTGAACACAAGAAATCAAGTAAATTTTATTTCATTTGTTTAGTATAATAAATATAATTTCGATTATTAGAACTTTCGAATATTACAATTCTAATATACGTTTCTTTATTCACTAATATACAACAAACTCCCCTTTAGTGAATAAAGAAACAAATAATTATTAATACAATATTAATTGACAAAAAATGAGTTATTTGTTTCTTCTAAGATTTTCTTCGATATTGGTTTTGTAAGAAAATCTGCATACTGTTGTTTAGTATTAACATATTCAATTCTGAAATTATCTTTTGATTGAAAAACTTCAATAAGCTTCTTAATTTCAATATCAAAATATCTTGATTCTGCTTTGGCAGCATTAAATAAAGATTTTGTTGGTTTTGTCAAAAATCTTGATAACCAATTTGTTGAGAATAAAATATCCGGTCGTGTTTTATTAGCCACATACAATAAAGATCCAATTAATTCTCGTATTGGTAAATTTTCATCAATTTCTTCGTCTTCATTATGAATATATAACGATGCCATTGGTACATTTGTTGGTTTACATTCATTCATTCGAAATTCATTCATGATTTTCCGAATATATTTTGTTTGATTCAATTCAAAATGATCATCTTTTTCAATGATTTGTACACCAAGATAGTCGTTTAATTTTCCGATATCAGTCATCTCGAATTTTTGTTCAAGATCTCTTATTACACGATCTATACAATCTGTATCTGGGCCAATGATGATAATGTCATCTACATAGATCAATAAGAGCATCTTTTGCTTCTTAAAAAGACATTTATCAGCAGTACAACGATTGAATCCAATCGATACCAAATATGATGATATAGTATTGTACATTCATCCTGTAAGTCAAGTTAATTATCAATTTTTTGTTGTTGTTGTTGTTGCGCTAACCTTCAATTCTTTTTTTTTTTTTTTTTTTTGCCAGCCATTTAATTGTTGCATTCATCTAAAAAAGGCATACAGAATTATTATTATCTTCATCATAATTTTGATGTGAGAACCGGGAACAGAAAAAAAAATTAGAAATTTTTTGTTTTATTTTCTATCCTGATAATGACCCTTCTGAATAACGTGATGATTGTCTCTTTCATCACCATCATCATCATCGTCGTCGTCGTTTTCGTGAATTATTACACAATTAAAATCATGAAAAAAAAGATGAACAACAACAACAACAACAACGAAAAAAAAACGTAATTCAAACGGATCATTGCTCATTCATTCATTCAATCATTCATTGAGATTTCAAACCATGATGATGATGTAATGCAAATCAAATCAAATTTGAGAAATCAAGTGAATCAACAGACCGATAATGATCATATATATAGAGAGTTATATACCACACAGAAAAAAAAAAAACGGAAAAAAAATTTGATATGATCAATGAGAATAATAACATTCCAAGAATTCGTCAATCAACAACAACAACAACAACAACAACAACAACAACAACAACATGCAGACGATTGGTAGGGGTGAAACAAAATAATTATGGACCAATGAAGATGTTTATTTCGAATATAAATTATGTAAATGAAGGAATGGATGATTTTTTTTTCTGATCTTGATTATTATCATCATTATGATGATTAATGCCATGTATCCCGAACTGAATCACACCAAAAAAAATCATCATAAACTGGCATTACAAAACTTGATTTGAATATCAAATCGAATGATAATTGAGATTATTGGAACAACAACAACAACAACAACAACAAAAATCGAATACGAATAACAACACCCCCGCTTTGTTTTTGTTTTCAAATTACATGCACTCAAAAAAAAAAAAAAAAAAAAAAAATTCATCCCAACCAAATAAACATGCAACAAAACCGTGGTGATGAAAATTCAAGACTAATAATTATGTAATAGTGTGCAATTTCCATCCGTCTTGGCCTACGGTAAGTTGAATCCCAATTTTTTTTTCGTTATTGTTTTAACCGAAAAATTTTTTTTCTTGTTGATTTTGATTATTCATTTCACATATCATCATTTGTTTTTATGATATATTTGTGTGCGTGTGTGTGTGTGAATGAGATCATCATTGAATTTCACCAATCGAAATATGATGATGATGATGATGATGATGGAACACATACATTCACATGGATAATATCTATTTTTTTCCCGTTGTCATCATCATCATCATCATCATCATATTATCGATGTTACTAAATAACAAAACAAATCGTGAATATTGAACAATAATATTTTCACATTCAAACAAATTATAATAGGATAGGATATATGATCGACCAAATACAGTACTAAATCAAACATTTCATCAACAAATCATTTGTAACAACAGATTTTTCTCTTTTTTTTCTCGTTTGTTGTTGTTGTTGTTGTTCGGTTGGTTAATTACATTCAAACCACACACACACACACACACACACACACACACACACATCATCTATATATATATTTAGCAATTTTTTTTTCTGCGAGAATTTTTCAGAAAAAAAACCATGAGAACAAAATGAAATCCAAAATGTAAAAACACAAAACACACATAGACACACACACACAATATCCGATATCATCAACAAAAATTTTTTATATTTCCAGATAATTATAATATATGAAAATGTTTGATTTAAACCATCATCATCATCATCATCATTTTTTTGAATTTGAATTGAGCATGTTTTTGTGTGTGTGTGTGTGTGGATGTGAAAATAGAAAAAGAAGGAAAATATCATTAGCTTTGAATGTTTTTTTTTTTTATTCGACCATCATCACTCGATCGAATCGATCATGATTTGGATAATAAATTTTTTTTTTGTTGTGGTTTTTTTTCTCTTGATTATCCATGATATATTTTTAATCACCTCGTATGGACATGATAATCAAATCGATGATGATGATGATGATGCGGTCGTTTTTTTGTGATGATGATGATCGTCATCATCATCATTTGATCATTTTTATGTTTTTCAATGTTTATCCAATTTTTTTTTCATATATTAATGTTTTTTTTCCAAATTGTTATTATTTATTATCATCAAACATTGAATAATAATCGAACATTGAATGTTTGCACTGATATATAGCTCTTTGTAGCTCACACACACACAAAAAAATTCCATGGTTCAAATTCCATCCAATTTTGAATTGAATTTCTATCCTCTGTTCGAGAAATTGCCGCTTTTGTTTTTTGTTTGTTTTTTTTTGTATATTTCTGGTTGATTTTTCCAATTAATGATGATGATGATGATGATGTGGTTGGCTATATATTAATAATTGAAAATTCTTGTTTTTCATTTCTCTCTCTGTGTGTGTGTGTGTGTGTTTGCAATAACAAACAAATAAAAACGACTTTGATCGATCGATCAATCGATTGATCTATCCATATTTCTATATATATATCATTGTATAGCAGCAAAGAGAGAGAGAAGAAATAGACAATAATTATAACTAACCAGAAATGATAAAAAAAAATAAATATATCGTCGATAATGATAAAAAAAACAATACAACATCAATCTATCAAATTCATTTTTTTGTTTTGTTTTTTTTTCGTTGATTATTGTTATTGTTTTTTTGTTGTTGTTGTTGTTGTCAAACTTTGTATATATGCAACATCAAGAACAAGAAGAAGATGAAGAACGCTTATTTTATAATGATCATTTCAAGCTGAAACAGAAAGAAAAAAAAATCGAATCAAATCAAATTGAATCGAAAATGCAAAAAAAAAACCA